CCATCCCTGGGGGGATTTAAAAGAAGGATAGATGAGGTGCTTAGGGACAGGGTTTAGTGGTGGGATGGCAGGGTTAGGTTAAAGGTTGGACTTGATGATCTCAAAGGTCTTTTCCAACCAAAGTGACTCTATGATTCTATGATTCTAAGAGCTCTCTTGGATCCAATTTAAGACCCTGTTCAGCCATCTGCGGAATCATACAGTAGAGTTAACCCCCTGCCCTGGAGACAGGCGAGGAAATGGATGGGTCATCCAAAAGCCACCCACGGAGAGCGGTGTTTTCCTTCTGCCACCAGCACCCTGGTCCTGCAGCGCCCCTGGGTGCCACCAGCAGCGTGGCCATGGCAGCCCTGGGGACCGCGCTGACCACCCCGCGCCGCAGCCCCGTCCCCCCACACCCGTTACCTGCGCAAGAGCAGCTTGGGGTGGTTCTTGTTTTCCAGGTTCTTCTCGATGAGGTCGGAGAGCAGCTGCTTCAGCACGTCGGTGGCGTACTCCAGCTTGCCTTGCAGACCCGTCATGATGAGCGAGGCCACGTTGCCGCGATCGCGCATGGAGAAGCTGCGCTGCAGCTCCAGCGTTCGGATGAAGGGCAGCAGGAAGACTTTGTTGTTGATCAGCTGAGCGAAGAGCTTCAAGGCCTTCTCCACGCTCTGCTGCCCGTTCCCTTGGACCTGCGGCGGAGGAGAGTGCGCCCATCAGCCAAGGCACGGGAGGACAAGAGCCCTGTGCTGCCGCGGGGCCCCTCTGCCGTCACGGCGGGTGGGGTGGATGGTTTAAACCTGGGTGCACAAGCAAGCACCCCATCTCTCAGGGTCTCAGCATGCCCAAACGTGGTCTGGGGCCAGTCCCGAACAAGCATCGCTCCTTCTGCCCTCCCCAGCACTTCAGCACGGCTGGCTTTAATCATTGCCCCGCGCTGTACTCTGCATGCCATAAAGCTGCTGCTTTGAGGCTAACGGCCCTATAAATGACAGACAATTTTGCTTGTTCTGCACAAAAAGTGACACTCTTGTAAGTAAATTAAATACTAATTTAGACTATTGCTTTATTATGGGACAAGCGTAAAAAATTAATTGAGGCTTTCAGCCAGTTGCAGATTCAAGTAATTCATTACAAGTGAAAATGATGAACTACATTAAGCAACTCTTTACCAAACATCTTGGAGACTTATGTATTGGTTTTACTAACGTTACATAATTAAGCAACTGTGTAATTGGCAACACATTTATCACTTCTGCAATTCCGTTTTTCATGAGTAAAACAAATAAAAAGCATTCATATTTGTTTGCTAGAGCATCAGCTTATTTGACAACTTAAACAGCAAACATAACGCGTGGGACTGGAAAACTCAGGGCACGGGAACGGGCTGGGAGAGGCTGGTTCAAAGCCTGCTGAGTTTTACCAGCACCATGGCAACGGCTCAGTGGTGGTGGCCCACTGGAAGGGAATCCAATTCGGTGCATTACGGCTAAATAGTGCTGGCCTGGAAAAGCGATGCAGCCGTACGGAGCACGACCAATCAAGACTTCTGCCTCTTACATCTCCGGCTAAAGATCTGGGTCACCCCCCGGTCTGTGGGAAGGCAACAGGACTTTCAGGAATTGCTGGAGCAATGCCAGTCTCCCAGAGGGAGCACTGAGCCCGGTACCTCCAGGTATCCCAGGCGGAGGACGGCAGCCCCATGCTTGGTGGCAGACGATGCTTCTTGAAGCACCATCACTTTATTTTTCGCACTCTCACGGGTGGGGAGGGCCCATCTGCAAGGTGAGCTGATGGACCCTTGTACGTTAACTATTTTTCTAAATCCTCGGTGAAAACCCTATGTATATATTTATGCATACTGGTGGAAAAAACCAGGAAAATCAAAGTGCTTGCTGTCAGCCGAGCAGGAGGCCGGCCATGCCGCTTGCCCTCCTGTGGACACGCCAAGAAACAGCAGCAGGATGCTCCAGGCGGGATGCTCCCAGGAGCATGGCCCTCCCCTGCACCAGGACGGGATTAAGGAGACCTTTAAAGGACACCCATAATTTACCTGGCGTGCTTTGCTGCTGGCCTAGAGCAAAATAAACCCCCATAAAATAAAACTAAAGCAACACTGGGGAGAAGAAACCGAAAGGAATTGAGCAATGTGGAATGGAGGTAAAACACCAGCCTCTTAGTTAAAATGAGCCGGGGGCTCATCCTGCTAACCCAGCACCTCTAATAAGATTTGGTGTGGAAGGCATAAATGTGCTCCAGGATTCCAAGCTGGCTTCCCTGAGGGCTCAGGGGAACTCCAAAGGGCTGGAGAACAGCCCGTTCATTACCTCCAGCTCCCGCAGGACAGGATGGTCCTCGATGCCAGGGAAAAGGACCCTCATGGCATACGTCCGATAGTCGAGGTACGGGATCCCGGAGCGATCCAGGTCGCTGGTTAATTCATTGATGTCCGTCTGCAGCTCTGCAAAAGCTGTTCAGGGAGAAGGGAACAAGACAGAGAAACGCACGTGAGCTCCGGGAGCCGAGGCTGCGGGGCAGAGGCTTTGGGGAGGGCTGGCTGCTGCTCCCGGGGAGGGGGCATGGCAGCAACCCTAAATGGGCCAGCTTGGGAAGCTGATTTGGAGGAAGGAGACCTCGCTGCGCAGCTCAGACAGACCCTCACCCTTGGAGGCGGCCTCAGGCGCTGAGAGCCAGAGCACACACTGCACAGAGCAGACGCTGGGAACAAAAGATGCTTATTAATTGGTATGCGGTTCACACCTGTGCATACACACCTAAACCCCCTTTAAAGGCTGCAGATAGAAATGAAGATCTATTTTCATAACTTGGTAGCTCCCCATATTTCCCTTTCTTCTTCTTCTCCTCCTCTATCAACAGTTGCCAAAATAATCAAATCTGATGCAGATGAAATCCAAGCAGAAACTGCCTGATGCAGGGGTCAGGAAGGAATTTATTCTTCCTCTCGTAACATAACATCAGCGCGTTATACAGCTGGACGTCTGGCCCTGTGTTCATGCTCCAAAGTATGAAACAGTGGCTCAGTACGGTCTCTGTACCCCCGCAGGGCTGTGCCCATGCTGTGGTCTCTCCTGAATAGATCTCATTTTTGTCCTGGGCATTCGAGGCTTTTAAAATCAGCTGAACAAATCCAGTGCAACTCTCTCAATATACAGAGGTCACACTATGAAATTTGCAGCTTTCTATTTGGTTTTTTTTTGATTGTTTTTTATTCACTAAGCTCCCTTCCAGCTGGAAGGACGTACGAAACACCAGCAGCACCCCTGCCCAGAACACTTTTTGTCTCAACCCACCAGCTACAGCAATGCCTGCCCGCCTCCGCCTCCGCTCCCTGCCGAGAGGTCGGGCTCGGCCGCCTCCTTGCAAGGGACAAGACTTGTTCATGTTGGAATCCGCAAGCGGCAGGCCAGGCTCCTCCAAACAACACGGAGGATTTCCCAGAAGCAAATGCTTGAGGAGCTTCCTCCTATCCCCCAGAGCCGCGCTTGCCCCTCTGGGCTCACATCTTATAGACCGGAGGAGGGACCGGACCAGCTTTCCAGCCCTCCTGCCTTCCATTTGGGATACACGCTGCTTCCAGGGGGTCCAAACCTCCCCCGCTCCCTATCGCACTCTGCCTTTTTAAAAGCCCTTTTCTACAGGGCCATTAGACAGGGGGGCACATTGTGCTGGGCGCCCTGGGGCTCGCGCCATCCTTGCAACGCGATCCAGGCGTGTTGCTTAAGCGGGATCAAGCTCTAATCCCATTCTCTGCACGTGAGGCAGCGGAGCCGTGTCTGCCGCTGACGCACCGGTCGCTGCCCACCCTCCCACGCAGCCTCGCAGGGCACGCACCCTACTCCTCACTGCAAAAAAAATGGGGTGACTGGGGTGGCTCTGGTGGGGAAAGCTGGGGACCAGAGCACGGGGCTGCAGCACACAGAGAGAGCCCGGTCCTGGGCAGTACTGACCCTCCTTGCACTCCAGGGCCACCCGGGACTCTAGGTTGTCCATCTGCATCTGCAGCCTCTTGAGGGTCAGGTCGTTCTCTCGGGACTTGCGCTTGTAGGCGATGAGGACGATGATGACGATGATGAGGAGCAGGCTGCCTCCGGCCGCGATGCTGACGATGGCCGGCAGGGTCAGGAGGCTGTCTGAGATGATGCTCACCGAGCCAGGGGAGAAGACGATACCTCCGACACGCACCTACAAAGCACAACAGAGGTAAAACCCCCAGGTTCAGGTATGGGTGCAAGCCTGTCCCAAAGCCCCTTCCTTCATGGCCAGGGCGCGCACCGCACGGGCTGTACAGACCCCCGAGGAAGCACCAAACTGCCGCTGTTTCAGCCAAGATATAGCAACTCCGATCGCCTTCGAACAGGGAGGGTGCAGCTTATGTGAACGCAGGGAGGCTTCAAGTCATGATAAATGTGCCAGCCCTTCACTATCTGGGCTTGGTTCTTATTATCTGATGGCTCCATTTGACTTTCATTTTACAAGCCTCCAACTCCCTTTTGTAAGCCATAGACATTAGGAACCCAGTGATAATTTCACTGACGAGAAACCGGAGCAACCGGAAAGGGAGAACAGAAGGGAAGAGCGAGCCCCGTGCGCAAGCTACGGAGCCAAGGTGCCGGAGGTTGACGCCAGGGCTCGCCGTTCTTGGATGTGCCCTGGCCACAGATGCAAGCAGCCCCCAGCCAGGTTGCGCTTCTGTGAATCACGCTGTGATAATCTGAGTATGTTTTGGATTGTGAACTTAAAGGGAAATAAATCACAATTCCAATCTCATTTAGGCTCTACTCAAGCACTTCGGCAGCTGCGTGCTTGGTCTGCGAGCGGCTCAGAGGGAGCAGAAATGCCCAAAACCACCAGCGGTTATCCCGGATGAGGCTGTTGATCCAACCAGTCCCGTGTTCAGATGTCAGGGCTGCTTCTGCTTCAGGAAAAGGTGACTCTTTTCCACCCACTCAGCAGATCAGGTCTGGCTACAAGGACTGATAAAATCCCTTCCTACCCTACAGGAGGGAGAACACAGCCCACTGAAAATGGCCTCACCTTCTGAAAGAAGAGCAAGCAGCACCAGAGAAAGGCTGGTACCTGGTACTGATGGCGCTGCCGGAAAGATCTTTCAGTCTAGAAGGCTCTGGTAGGCAGTGGTGAGTCTCAGGGAGAGAATAAGAAGTTTCTCCATGCTAATCCAAATCAATATTTTAAGCTTAGAATCATAGAATGTTTTGGGTTCGAAGTGACCTCTAGAGGTCATCTAGTCCAACCCCCAAGCTTCCAATCAGACAGCCATCAAAATCTAAAATCCTACCCATGCTTGGACAAGAAATTGCATTTGATATCTGAGTGAGTCAGGGAGATGGCAGAGGAGGAGAAAGGGTGGGAAGGAGGGCGGGAAGGGATGCTGGTGGGAGAGCTGGGTCCCTCACCATCACTTTGTGCTGTCCGGTGAGATTTGGTGGCTCGCACAGCAGCTGGGTCTCGGAGACGGTGACGGCACAGGGTGTTTCTCCGACCAGCACAGTGTAGTTGAGCTTTGCTCCTCCAGGAGCGGGTGGGCACAGGTTTCTGCCCTAGGGACAAGGGGAGAGAAGACTACAGAGATGCAGCGCATTTCTCCAGTTTTCATCTCATTCCCAGCTGGTACAAACAACGGGTCTCAGTCTAGCATGTCCTGTTCTCCAAAAGGGGGTCTAAAACTCTCCTCTCTGGGATTTTTTTGCCACTTCCCACTGGGTGAGTAAGGGTCTCCTTACCTTCAGGATGATGGGCGACCCCGGCTTCTGCTCCAGCACCCCGGTCGGGCTCAGGAGTTCAAACGTTGGGTTGGGATAGTATATGAACTTGGTGTCATTGTAGACCAGCAGGGACTGGACATTGTTAAAGATGAACCCAAACTCGTCGGGCCGCTCGACGGCGTCCAGGCCGGGCCGGTACTCGGGGGTGAGGGGGGGGGCCAGGCAGGCCAGGGCCGGGGGGGCGCGCCC